CATGTATGGGTCCCATTGAGCATGCTAAACTTGTTTCTTGTGATTTTTTGTGTGGGCGTGCCAAACGAGCATGTCATCAAAAGGTTTGATATTTCTTACTTCTAAAATCAAATGGTGAATTCTCACGGTCCTTTATCACAATTTTTCCAAATACAATGCTTAAAAATAAAGAGATTGGAGAAATAAAGATGGATAAATATGTGAGGCGTGCATGATGAGATCATACATGATATATTGATAACAAGAAAAAAATGAAACTATAAAGAAATAAAAGATAGAAAACTAAAAGGAACAACACAGGTGCATTGTTACTATTGTTTTGTTAGGAGCTGGTGTTCTACTAGTTGCTAAAGAAATTCACTATTTTCTACTAAATGCATGGCATGTTAAGGGTGCTGTGTTGAATATGCTGAAAGATAAAAGGAGTCACGCTAAGCAAGCTTGAAATGACACAGGGTCAAGATTTGAGTTTTGCATTGGCCAAGTAAATTCAGTTGTTGAAGTGTTCAGAGAGGATGTGTAAAAATGTGTGTGTAGAGTTGAAGAGCGGAACGAGAGATCGTGTTCGTGTAATGGCTTCCCTTGTATAGGCATAAAGAGACAGTTTTTCCATGGTTCCACACTCTAATTTTTAGCACCACTAGCTACAGTTTTTACCAAAACTTCCTCCACTTTCACTTTTCCAAAGTGGTGTGTTATCTTCTCATAACTTCCTCCCTTCTAAAGAACTGACTTTATCTTTCTTCATTGAGTGCGCCTATCAATTAGGGTGGTCTACCTATCTCGCTTGTCGAGTAAGGTAAGATAGCTTAACCTTAAAGTAGGGCCATTTCCATCTCGTATGATAAGGTAGCAGTCAAATCTTGGAAGCAAGCCTCTTAGTGAGTATGGTAATCTGGATAGGTAGTATGGTTGTCTGATTGTGCAGCCCCGTGGTCTCTTCTTCTTTTGATTCCCTACCCAGTAGAATATGCGGCTGTGGCTTGAACATTGTAGAATACTTTTAGATTTTTTATTTGTTTATTTGTTGTGAAATTTGAATATGAAATGCTGATTATGGATATAAAGTTCTTGGATGTTCATTGATGATGAGGGAGAGAAATATTGTAAATATGGTAAATATGTAAATGAAACCTTATTTTATTTTGTAACCTTTCATCTTATGCAATTTAAAATTTAGTCTAGATAACATGTCAAAAATTATTTAATAATACTTTTAACAAAAATATATTTAATTAAACTTTTAAAAAATCCATTCGAAAATATACAATCCTTGTTCAACCAAATAAAATGCAACCTCGGTCAGAGGAGAGAAAAAATATAGCTACTAATTCAAGCAAGCTTATTTTTATTTGGGTTGAATTTTTTTGAACCGAGTTTAAAATATTTTAACATATAAAAAATAATTACATAGCCAAACCTAGCCTTTATCCTTCAGACTTGCTTGCTAGCATGAATATTCGAATTGTTAAATATTATATTATATTATTTTTTATTTTTATCAAATTCTAATTGTAATTTTAAAAGTTAATATTTTCAATTTTTATATTATTTTATCAATAATAAAAAAAAATTCAGATATTTAAAGTAAGCTCATTTAGATTTAGGCTTGATTTGAACTGTCACCTCTAAAAAAAAAATATACCACCCAGTACATCTTTCCATTCCAATCCTGCGCCCACTTTTTTTTTTTTGGCGATTTGTTTTTCCATTTATTGTCAGATCTATGGTTATCTTCCAATAGTAATTACAAACGAGGGAGATGCCAATATTCTCTTTTGTCCTATTTATAAGGTGATATAAAAATATTTTTATTTTATTTATGAGTTAATTTATTAAATTTTTTTATTTACTCTTCATTAAATATTAAAAAATATATATATTATTAAAGTACATTTATTTAATCAATGAGTGCCTTTAAAATGAATACACAAAGTAGCATTAATAATGGCAACGACTTGACATTTGTTTGAATACAGTACTCTCTTTGTTTTTATTTATAAGAGAGAAAAAATGTATCATATAATTTAAAAAAATTATTTAATTATATTAATTATATCTTAACATAAAAGAATTAGATTAAAATATATTTTATTTAATTTTATTAATTATTTTTTTGGGCTATGAATGATGAAATTATAAAAGATAATTTAAAAAAATTGTAATAAATATCTATTAAAAAATATAATTTTGCTTATATAAAAGCTCTAAAAGTGATGATTTCTCTTATAAATAAAAATGGAGTGAGTATTTTCTTTAGCTTAATTGTATTGATTATTTATTCATTGTGATTTAATATCTTGAATATGACAAATTTGATGTTTCTCTAATGAGATCAATATATATATATATATATATAGAAATCTCATAGCTTCAATTTGATTGGTTAAAAAAAAATTGACTCTCATTGATGTATAGATTTTAGACTAATGTTAATATATAAATTTCTCTTCACTCATTAATGAAATTTAATTTATTTTTAAAAAAATGACAATAAAATTTCTCTAAAATATATAAATGATAATTTGATTCCCTGAAATGCCATAATTTCTTTGAAGTCTCTATAAACTTTTCTATCACTATTGAATTTATATAAATTACTAAATTTTTTATTGAAAATATATGATTCACAAGTGTTGTTTAAATATTCATAAATTTTCTTCTTATAAACGCAACAATACAACAATAAATAAGAAATTTAACATGTAAAGTTGTGCTTTACTGTGACATTGTGGCGAATATAAGAAAAAAAAGTTGTGAATATTTAAATAAAACTCATAAATTATTTATTTTTAATAAGGGTAATTTGGTAATTTATATAAATTTATTTGGTAATTTATTTTCAACAAGAGCAAGTTGATAATTTATATAAATTTATTAATAATAGAAAAATTTTTAAAAACTTCAGGAAAATTATGACATTTCGAGAAATCAAATTGTCATTTATATATTTTAGAGAAATTTTATTGTCAATTTCTCTTTATTTTTTATTTTTCATTTATTTTTAATCTACTTATTGATTCAAGATCACTTTCATTTTCAAAATTTTTTAATCACATTAACCATCCGTTTGGATGGGAAGAAAAGTTGAGAGGAAAAAAATGAAGAGAAGAGAAAACTAAAAAGAAAATATTATCACTCTTCTTGTTTCGATGGACAAGAGAAAATAGAAATGAAAGAAAATAAACAGATATCATAATGACTATAATACTCTTATATCAAAATATATCATGTTTCTTGTAATTATATTTGTGAAAATAAATTGAAAGCAGAAATTACATTAAAATTAACATAATCCAATTAATTTAAAATTAAATTATTTGTTAAAAATGTATTTTTATATTATATTTTAAAATCAAATAATTAAAATTAAATTAATGTAATTCTAGACAGTTGATCTAGCCAATGGCTAAATTATTTAATTAAATAGTTAAATTATTTTAATTCATAACTATAAAAGCTAAAATTATAAACTAAACTGTTTAATTAAAATTAAATTAATGCAATTAAGTAGTCTCTTAAGAGTCAAAGCACGAAATAAATAAGAAATAGAGGGTAGACAATAAAGAAAAGTTTTACCCCCAAAATCTCTTTACTTTTAGAGAAAAAAGTTAGAAGGAAAAAACAGCAGGTCACACACCCTATTTTCCTTTCACTTTTTCTTTCCTCTCATTTTTTCTTCCTTATCCAAACAGGGAAAGATCTATTTTCTCTCTTGTTTTCTCTCCATGTTTTTTTCCTCCTTTCTTTTCTTCCTAACCAAACAAAGCATAAGTGTGTATTTGGATAAAGATTGTAATCGATTTTTTAAGTAAAAAAATCAATTTTTTGCCAAAGCAGCAAGATTTAGCTTCTGCGTCATTTGTTACAAAATTATACAAAAAAATTACAAAAAAGGTCCGAGAAAAAAATTAGACACAAAAATTAATAAAATAAAACCAAACACTATTCTCTTTTTTTTTCTTTAATAAAATTTAAACTTTGAATCTTCAAAAAAGTTATGAACATAAGTTACTGTCAATCACCACCATTCACTTATTATTTATTATAAAACTAATTTAAATAAAATATTAATTAATAGAAGATATGTTGTTAAAATTTTTAAATAGTGCTTAACTTTTTTATTAGATATGTCGAGCTAAAACAAACAAAAAGTTAAAATATGCAAATTTTACATATAATGATGATGATGATGATGATAGAAGAACCTGAATCTCCCTTTGAATCTTAAAAAAAAAAAATTCTTAAAACCTCTTGCCAGCAAGTGGAGGAACTCCCCGTACTCCTTATCAGTGCCATCGGGCTTCCTCTTAGTCTGCATGAACTGCAACACCAGAGGCCTCCTGGTGCAAATATCACAACCCCTGGGCAAGAAGTCGCGGCAGACAAGAGCCTCAAGTACACTGGACTTGCCACTATTCTGGCTCCCACCGACGGCGACCTGGGAAAGATCGATGGTGGACTGGCTTCCGACCCAAGCGAAAATGTCCTGAAGCTTTTTGACTATGGAGATCACGGGAGAGCCAAGAGGAGCAGATGAGGAAGGCTCGTATTCACGATATCATTAAAAATTAATTTATACATTATCATTTTTATTAATTATTATAAAATTAATATTTAATATTTAAAAATTAAATATTTTTTATTAAATTTATTTAAATTAAAATATATTAAATTATTTATTTATATAAATTAAAAATTTTAATATTAATATAATTTAAATTTTATAATTAATCAGATATATAATTTAAATAATATATTTTACTTTTAAAATACTAGATATAAATTTATTAATAATTTAATTTTAAAAAGTAATATCTTTTATAATAATTTATACAGTTAAAATTAATTTTAAATAAATTATTTAAATATCTTTAATTTTATTTAAATTAATTTTAAAAAAATAATATTCAAATATATTATAATATAACACAATTAAAATTTATTATTTAATTAATTATTTTCTTAATTTATTATATTCAACTGTGATTCAAACGGTCACTGACTCCAGCCGCCGACCCTTTTCCATCTGATCGTTTCGTTCCATTTGACGAGAGTTTCAATTTCTCCAGAGACTCCTCACTCAGCGTCGCTTGACTTCCTCCGTTCCTCTACTCAGCCAGGTTCTTCCTTGCTTTCTATGTTTATTGTTATTTTACTTTCAGACCTTAATATTGAATTTCTCGTAGCATTCATCTCTGATTCCTCTCTTTTCGTCTTCGTTTTTATCTCTGAAACTCTCGTCTTTGCAATGCTTTCTTTTTCGCTTCTTGATCCAGAAAAAGGTTCGAAATTGTTGGGAAATCTAGCATTTGAAGGAGACTCAGTAGTCGTCTTCTTCAATTGGAAGTGCAGAGCCACGAGTCAAGTAAAATCCTAGACCTGCGATGCTTCATCTTCACAAACAGCGGGATTCAGTCGAAGCAATTCCATAGCAAGATTCAGTCGAAGCACGTTGAAGTTGGGTTCAAAGGCAATTCTTCATGTCTCCATGTAAGCTAGGATTCCCATTTCATATTTCCTTTCGGTTTTTAAGTTTTTTTTCCGGTGATTATATTTTCATTGTATTTTCTCATTTTTTGGACGGGCTTTTTGTTTCATCTGGTATACTGTATCAGCACGACCTACTTGCCTGGTGAAGATGGATTCTTCTTTCTGGGCAATAGGTAAAGGTTTAAAATTTTCCTGCTTGCTGTTTGGCATTCAATGATTTGGCCTGACCAAGCAATTTGAAAGTAATAGAAGATCTAATTCATTGTGTGGAACAATAGAGTACATGGCACCTGAAATTATTCTTGGCTAGGTCCATGATTAGGCTGCTTATACTACTAAGAGCATAAGAGTAAGTGATTATAAAGTTCTTTCAGAACTGTTTTCTGTGGTTGTCTTCTTATACTACTGGAAACTTCTCTGAATTTCTCTCTCTCGCTCTCTCTTTTTAATTTCATGATTCAATTAATGGCAATGCGATATCTGATCTACTTTCTTGGATAGTTGATTCGAGTTTTCTTTTTCTTTTTCTCCTTTTTTGCCATTCTTATTCATCAAGTGATTAATTTATACAAGAACCTGAACTCTATTCTGACTATATTTTCTGTAACAAATAGGATCTGAGGGCATATGAAGCAATCGTTGAAGAATTAAACTTGACAAGGTTTGTTTTCATATTCCATTTGGTATATAACCTCCTCCCCTAAAATATTTATTGGCAGTGTTTTGAATTTTGATGTTCTAAGAAGCTTTATATTTTTTTCTGTCACTATTTGCTTTATGGCATCTGTCTTGCCACTGATGTCCCTTTTATTTACAGTGTTGCTACTAAAGCCCAATTTGGAGGAGTGGACTGCAAGAACAAAAGTTTATGATTCATTAAAAGAATCTGTGGGTCTCAATAAATTAAATCTATAAGAAATGAATTGATATTTGATTTCTGAACTGCCAAATATTTAAGCTCACTAAAGGATCTCATGAGCCGTTGGTAGTCACAAATTGAGACAAAATTATGCTCCACATGTACGGATATTGGAAAGAAGATGATGAACTGCTGTTCAGCTATCATCTCCTTATTTTTGTACTCTTGCAACTTCATGCATAATGTCATAAGTGAAGCATTTGGGTGCATGGTCTTAGAGATTTCCATTTAAGCAAAACCACTGAGGAAATATTTTTCATGATATCTTCTCTGTCATCCCCATGAAACGTGGCCCATCTCTGTAGGGCTGAGTTCTGTCTTGATTTTGAATATATTTACTTCATTGTCTGCATTTATCTTTCTCCTGTCATACAAAATTAGTTTAATTGCTGCAAGAAAAACAAAATCTCCTGTCTTCATTTTGACAACCATTAATGAATAAGGTGCTTGGCATTGGTGCATGTTTGGAATCCTACTATATGAGATGCTTACTGGAAAGGTTTGGATCCTGATTTTGTATAATTGTAGTTGTTCATTTAAATCTTTGAAGTTGTTTGAGAATTTACATCTCATCTTTTCTGGAATTCTTAAAATCAACAATGTGGCACAAGATCCTATTTGCTTTTTGGGGCCGTTACCTATTTTCAAAAGCTTCTAATTAATTTTTTGTTGTATTGTATTATTTTTATTAGCAATGTTAATATAACAAATGAATTGGACAATAGGTTTATAATGTTGTGTTTGTCATGGATCCCTCAAGCTCTGTTTCTTACATCTGAACTCAACTTTGACTGCTTTTGAATTGTGTTTGGAGTTAGTAAGGTGGTAATATTGCCATGCCCTTAGGGATATGATATTCATCCATATGAAGCTACATTATGATGTTGATAGGATTGACTTGAGATTTTAAAATTCTCAATTTTTATATTAAGGAAACAGTCGAGGAACGCCAAGAAGACGGGGAGGGATGGGAATTGGTTTTATTGTGCGAAAAAAGCTCTCAGTCCTAAAGTCAAAGAAGAGGGAGGACGACGTTCGGAGTTCTTTTTCTTTTCGTATAATTTTCAATATATATTTTAATGCACTAAGTATTGATCCTATCCTTTCCTGTGTCTACAGGTCTTTCCCCCCATGGAAATGATTTGAGAACATTTGTTGATCAATCCAGGACATTACGGGCAGAGGAGGTAGAAGATGGATCTCAACAATTGGACCTAATTTGCATCTCAATATATAATTTTAATGCAGCAATTCTTTTACATATATATCTATAGCTGCTGTATCGTTTCCTTTGGGTTTTGCAGTGGTGCTTGAGGGAGATATATTTCTTCAAAACCTGCCAAGTATTATTACCGCCCATGCTTTAGGTACATAAATCACTGTATATGTCTCATCCGCCCACTCGCCTCGTCTTTTTGAGTCATTTGGGAAGTTAAAAGTGTCTGCTATTTGTTACCCTTGGTTGCAAGTGCTTGTTACTATAAACTCTTCTCATATGTACCACTCTTTTCAATGAAAACCCGTCTTAATCTACTTGGTTTTAAGTCTTTGGAGACCATCTCAACAGCTATGTTTCCGCAAAACTCCTTATTTAGACCACTAAAGTAATTATTTTTCTGCTTTGTTTAAACAATTCTGTTTTGAAAAAGGGACAATGTTAATATGCATATGCAATTGGTTCTGATGTATTTTGTAATTGGTTCTTGTGGAACTATTTCTGTCGTATCACAAGACTTAGAACTTCAGTATCCTTCATGATCACGTGGCTTTTACAACTGCTGTTGGTCTAAGGTAGACCCCTGCCATTGATTTTTTTTGCAACAATTGGAACAAAGCCTAATTCCAATGTTTCAGCAATTCTGGAAGTACTTGATGTGCTATAATGATTGGTTGTTCAAATACAATAATTAATGCATCTTTTTAATTGAATAAATGAGATGAAGCCCTTCATATATTGTTGCAATAGTTTGAAGAATTATTATTTGCATTGAATAGTAAACATGAATATCTTGTACAATTTATTTGGGGCATAAATCAACACAATATTAAAGGATAGAATCTTATGTTACTACTTGGGAATATAATTAGTTTCTTCACTTTTTCAGTGCTAACAAAGGAGACTCCTTGAGGGTGTCTTGTGATTTTTGGGTCTTAGGATACTATTTTGTTTTGTTCTAGAGTGCTAATAAAATGGACTTGAGCATCTGAGAAAGTTTGTTGTACCTCTTACCTAACATCTTTATTGTCATTTGTATTGGATGATAAAAAATTATCTTTTACTCTACTACCACAAAATAAAATAAAAATGTATCAATTGTAGAACGTTTCATATTGTTGACAAGTGCGTGTGTATTATTTGGTTATATCTATATTACTTCATCAATTTTCTTTTATCAAACCTGAGCAATTTACACAGATTAATTTTCTCACATTTAGGTTATTAGACATATAATTATATACAATTTTGATGAAAGAATGATAATTTTTTTGACAATATGTTATAAACATGAAGTCAAAATAACAAATATTATTATATTGTATGTAATTCAAATACAAAAAAGTACATAATTCACATCAATTATTTTTGTAAAAAAACTGAATCTTAATGTTACTGAGTTTATTTAACAAAAGAACATTACCGTTTATGTTGAAATATTCTAAATGTTGATCTCTAAAATATTTTACTCATTTGTCTTATGTATAATCCCTGCAACATGCAGGATTCAGGCACATTAAATATAAATGAGTAAAGGTCTACTTTTGTTTTTAAAATATTTGTGAAGGAACACCCAATATCTTACTCTTTTTATTGTAACAATTTTACTTTTAAAATAAAATGGAATAATTTTGTCTTTAAAGTTTAAACAGACTGCAAAGTTTAACCACTTCAACCCCAAAATGATCTTCATATTGACAAATGGCGGAGAGGATCTCTCCCCTTGATTCTCAGTCGCCGTGGAAAACAGCCACACTTTGTGTTGCAGAGTCTACCCGCAGCCTCTGATCGGACTCCAACAACATATTGCTGTCCCGTGCGTCCTTGGAAAAGCTGACTCAAGAAAGCAGTGATCGGAGATTTGGGACTTTGATTTGGCATTTGATGGGGACCATTCCGCATTTCTTACCGTCGAGTGGGATCGCCTTTTGGACAAGCAAGTACCAATTTTTTCTTCACCAACCTTCTCTATTTTTAAATCATTCTTTAGTCAAGCAAAATAATAATTATATATGCTTGCTTATGGATATTAGGATTCAATTTAGTTACTGTAATGAAACCAAATAATTTAAAATAATCAATATAAAAATAAATTATATTATTTTTTTTATAATAAGTATGATAAAACTTATTAATATACATATTATAAATGTAAAAATTATCACACCCTTTAAAAATTTTATGAGTTATGATTTTAGATTCCATAAATTAAATTACCTCCTTATAAATGTAGTTCACTATTCATTTTAACCATATCAATTTTATCTTTATTTTTTCAATATGTTTCATTCCATTTTTATCTAATAATTTAATGAGACCTAGGTGAGATTTCTAACCTTCGTCTGCTATGGGTGAACACAGCTCCACTTTGCCAAAAGTAGCAACCAGCATTGGCACACTAATTATAAATTTAAAGAGTTATAATTATAAATAAAATATTTAAATTTTACATGAAAATTTTTTATTTGTCATTGAAATTTTCATTTATAATGTTTTGAATTGGCATCTATATCTCGTTTTTTAAAATTTTTTATTAAAAATCTAGCTGTTATTAATTTGATATGTAATTGAGACTTTACTGTTATTCTCCCTTTCTATTTTTTAAAATTTCTCTTCCACTGGTTTCCTTCTTTTTGTATAAAAAAGTCCTCAATTTTGCATACGTATTTGTTTGTCCACTTCGTTTTCTTCTTTAAAGTTTCTTCATTTTCGGTTTACCATTTAATAAATACAGTCATTCTTTTATTAATGTATTGTATACTCGTTATTTATAACTCACCTTTAACATCTTTCACCACAATCAATGAAAGCATTAAAATTCATTACTTCTATCTAAAAGTTTAATAACTTTATTCCAACTTTGTTCCTAAATAAGTAAATGGATTTAAATCCTGTAGTTGGAAGTTTACTATTTTTTTAGCATTTTCACTCATTTTATTATTTTTTTAAAATATAAAATTTTTTATCTCTTTTTTGGGAAAAAAAAACTTCAAAGAAATTTACAATTTCCAACTACAGGAAAATATATATACTTTACCCGTTGTGGGAGCCTTACGGCTGAGCTGGAAAAAAATAAAAGAAAAACTACACACACACATTATATGCTGGTGAAAAAAAATCTATATATAAATTAGTGATAAAATGGTGAGGCACAAATAAAGGAGGTCGAATTCAAACCATAAAAAAAAAATTTATGAAATAAAAATATAAATTAATAATATGATGACATGTGATGTGAGGTGGGGGACATGTAGTGTGAGGTGGGGCGCTGCATGGCAGGTGATATGGTTTGTTGTTGCTGATTGGTAGCAGAAACCAAATGTTGCGGCCGATTCTCAACTTCCTCTAGTTACAATTTTTGTCGATTATATATTTTTAACAGGAATTTTTATTATTGACAGAGATAAAATCACTAACAAAAGCTCATGTAATGATATTGCAACAACTTTTACTACCATTGAAATTTTTTAACGTCGACATTTTTTTAGCAGCGACTTTCAACTTTCAGAATCTCCACTGAAGCTTGATTTTTTTGCAGTGCTCAGGGGCAACGAGTGAGATCAGATTACCAAGACTTTTGCCTAACTTCTAATGGAAAACCGTTTAGGGGTAGGAAAAGAAAAGGCGATGTTAGGTGTTCAGCGTTAAGCAAGTTTTCATATTAACGTGTTCTCTTGCCGGAGGAAATTACAGAGGATCAAATAACCCGTGAAAATTCTGAAAAACCTCTCGTATTCGAAATTTAGAATGATTTTTACATACAAAAATCAAACTGCAAGAAGATATTAACCTGTATTAAAACCCAGGATTTAAAGGTGGGGGATTCCAAAAAAGAAAAACAAGGAGAAAGTAAATTTTATTATATACAAAAGTACAACACAAGTGCCAAGAGACCACGTAGGCAATTGGCAGAGACTCGGATCAATTATTGACCCTCAAAAGTTCGACGCACAAAGTTCTCACACAAACTTACATGACATAAAAACACAACTATGCAAAGCATCAAACAGATGGGTCCAAACTCTAGTTTGCCAAGTTTTCAATGACAGTAGCAATCAATGGAATTGGATTTCCAAATATAACTGATATCATAACGCTGAAACCTATCTTAGCCATTTGGATCCCAAGAGTAAGAAATGGTCTCGCCCTCGACGAGCGTCTTCTATCCACTGCCGAAGAGCTTCCTGTGGCTGATGTGATCAAATTTCTATCCCTCTGCACGCTCTTACTTCTTTTTGAGTTTGTTGTCCCACTTCTGCTGACCAAGCTTGAAGAAGACGAAGTAGCCGATGTGATCGAGCTTCTATTTTGCTTAACATTGAAGCAGCCCGATTCCCAGTTGTCCATAATCAAAGTCTTCGTACAATAGACATGGAAGGTATACTTTCCACAAGAAGACACATAGGACCAACCTCTGAAAGGCTCCTCGCTGCGAACGTTATCTAGATCCTTCCTCTTGCACTTCTTACACCTCTGGTGCACTTTGTCCTTAAGACTCAGCTTAATTTTGCCTTGAGGATCAGACATGGTTCTCTTAAGGTTCATGCAACAAGGGTGCAAATCAAACCCGCTTCTGGACTGATCATGATACAGAAACCCTTGGACGTCCCTCCCGCAAGCATAGCAATATCGGCGTTTTGGCCCGCCCGGCAGTTCCCATAGAAACTCGAACTGGCGGTTACCCATTAATGGATGGATTCTGGGTCTGTCTGTGGGGCGAGCTGTGGCACAGTGGTCGTGAAGGACGAAGTGACAATTCCTTTTACAGCAGTGGTACCTTGGGCCAAACCCTGGTTCTTTGCAGCCACTGCAATTGAATGGTCCTCCTTCTCTTTTCAGCACTATTGCATGCTGAGGATGATATGGGTGATTCATCTTCGTCGCCATACCCCTTGATCCCTTACTTTCTTTTGCTTTTTGACGAGCTTAATGAGTGTTATTTCTCTTCAACCTCTTTGAGCTTATATATATATATATATATATATATAATTACTGGCTAAATCCCATGAAATCTATAAATTGCTAACAAGTTCCAATAAGATAAGGGGCATTTTTTGTAATTACACAAACATACATTTAAGGGATTTGGAGCTGGTAGTAAATATTTATACGTCTCTTTGTGAAATTTTTTATTTGCAAAACATGAGAGTAAAGTTCTAAAAGAATAAATTAATTTCAGTTAAGTACTTAATATTTTTTTTAAAAAAATATGTTACAAACATCATTTAAATAATTATAAAATTGGGAGTTATAATTACAAATAAGACATTTAAATTCTATATGCAACTCTCAATTTATAGCTGAAATTTTTATTTAT